TCTTTATTAATTACTATGAATTACTATGAGTTTGAGTCTTCTTAAGTTTTCACTCTCCGTGGATTATCTTCTGGCAGAAAAAGGTTAAAAACAAATCTGTGGAGTGTCAGTAAGTTGAGTTGAAGTGGAAGGATGCTCTGTTCCACTCGTGTGCAGGTTTTTTGTAGTTGTCATTAGAGATTTATAAATAAATACATATCAAAATTAAAATACTGGTTTTGGCCTAGAAGCTTCTCACAATTGTCATGTCTCATGTAACTTCTGGGAAAAACAAATCAAAAGGATGTGAGACAGTTTTCTGTTCTACCTCAGAACATCTAAGTGGTAGGAGAAAACCATAAACCTGTGCTTCTTATTCTTTGAGTAACAGCTTTCCACTGAAAATATGACATGCAGTAGCTGCTAAAATTTTAATCTTATTTTAATCTGGTTAGTAGGTTCTGGTTTTGTGATAGGGAAGGCATCTATTTTTATATATATATACACACACACGCATCAGATTTTTGCATATCGTCTACTCCTTTGATTACCGATTTTCGTTTTGAGGCTTGTTCCTACCTTCAAGGCAGGTTTCCTTATTTGTGCTCCAGTTCTTGAAGCGAGTATACAGAATTTGCAGCTTCAGTGGGAAACAATGTCTTGGAGGTTAGCATAAATTAAATATATGGTTTTATTATGCTTTAGTTTGTATTCTGCATCTTTTAAGGTAGTGAATTCTTTGTAGTGATGTAGCTTTTTAACTTTTTTTTTAAATAGAATCTATATTTTTGATCTTTGATAAGATTCTAACCCTTTGAAGTAGGTTGTTTGAAATGCAAAGACTTAAAGCCAAAATTATCCAGGTACATTTGACAGTTTTGTTATTATATTTTGATTAGTTTTACTCTAGTTCCACTATTATAAAGCATAGCTGTAACAATTTTCTGCTAGAGAGCATATAAAACATTTCTTCAGCAACTATTCAGTCTTCTCATCAAAAATAATGCCATGTCTGTTAGTCTGCACTGTTTAGGGCTTTGAAACAACCGGTGTGCTTTTTATGCCTGGGAAAAAAACAACCTACTGGTGGTCCATGTTGCAGTATGGGTAGCGTGGAAGTGGTATTATGGGTATTATCTTCTGACTCTTACCATTGATCTTCCCCCATCCAGAGCATTAGGGCTGGTAATTTCTAGTGTCTGTAATTCTGGTGATGTTTGGATCTACGTTCATATAGAATTCATCTCCAGAAGATGTCATCTGGGCTCGTGGCTTTTGTAACTGCTGTTATTTAGATCTGTTGCCTGTAGGGACTGGGTGATTTTCTTTTGTTAGTTTCATAGGGCTTAGGTCAGAGCATTAATTCAGATAAACACAAAACTAGTAGTAAAATTCAGAGCAGATGTTGAACTAAACTCTTTGAATTAAAAAAAAAAAAAAAGTAAAATACTTCCCAAATTAATTAAAGAGTAGAGTATTTTTTTGTTTGTTTGTTTGAATCAGTTATTGACTGATGTTCTGGAGTCATTCTACTGGTTGACCATGTAATTCCAGGATTTTTTACAGCTTGAGCTTGTTGCAGATGTTTTTCTCTGTACTTTTTTCCTAGTCTTTGATATGACTACGTGATCCTGCCATTTCTTAATTCTCAATAACTTCTTTAGAAGATTCTGTAGGTAAAACATCTTTTGATTTCTCTGCTAAACAATATATGGTTTTCCTTGTTTAATGCATAGAATCCTTTGAACTAATTTTTAATAAAATTATTTTAATAAATTAATGGTAGAAACAACTTAGCTTTTTAATATACCTAGTCATTAGATAAAGGAAGAGGATAAACAGCTCAATGCAGTAAAGCCCCTTTAGGGTAGTCGAGGTGATGTTGTGTTTCTTTCACCTCAGTTCTTTCTGATTTCAATAGAAAAGAGTGAGACCTTCTTGGAATAATTGTTCCAGTTTAAATGTTGTATGGTACAGCTCTGCACTTGGATTTTTTTAAACACTTATGCATTTATCTTCAGGCGTCTAAGAGTAAAGCAATTACTGTCACTCAGGAATTGGACTACTTTCCTCATTCAGTGCAACTTTCTCTTTTACATCTAGCACAATAAACTCTGTTGTGAATTTCTAAAACAAATTAATCAAATTTGTTAAGTGTTAGTGGCCAGTCCAGCCTAAACCATTTCAGCAATATAACTCTTTCATGGTTTCTCACTTATAAATGTTGTTTTCCTTTTAGTATCTGCTGAATATTGGTATGTTGTCTCGGTAGCATCGTATACTGAAATAAGCAATCTGAATTATGATACATTTTAAACAGTTTCCTTTAATAATGCTTTAAAAACCCCAGACTTTTCATTGAGGATGGGTGTCCCTTTATAATCTTCTGTAGCTCACACTGGTGTTTTGCTCTAAGCAAATTATCAGACAGACAGTTATTGTGTTAATTGGTTCGTGTTTTGATGATGTGCCATCCTCTCTCACCTATTTTCTGTGTCCTGGGGCTGTTCAGTGCTAGGAGAGCCGCTCTCCTGTGCTGGGCACAGCTGAGTCAACAGAGCCTCCTGCTGATTTTTTTCTGCTGAGGTGGTCGCATTAGCCACAGAAGGAAAAATGGCAAGCGCTCCTCAGTATAGCAGTCATAACCTAAGCTGTACTAAGTGTACTAAGTCATTGATGTTTAGCGTTAAGTAACATTATCTGCTAAACCTTTTGTCAACATGGGACTAACTGGACTTTTTCACAGTGCTGGTCAACACGCATTGTATCAGCATGGCTGTATTTTCATGGACGTAGGACTTTTCTCTCTAGGTCTCTGGACCCTGGTATCACCTCTTTCTTCCTTCCGACCGTGTCCATGCTTGCCAGCATAGCTAGGTCAACATGGGGAAAACACAGCTCTTCAGTAACAGGATTTTTGGTATCTCCCCCTCTGTCCCGCTCCAAATCCAGAGGTTTTGTTGGCTTACCTGTGGAGCGTCTGCTCCCGCGCTTGTGTGCGCATTTGGTGCCTGTAGACCCTCCCCGGGGGAGGGAATGGGCAGCAGCCATCACAGCTCCTGCCAGCCTCTGGGGGAGAGATGTTCGGTCAGTCTCGGCCGTCGTGCTCTCCCTTTCTCCCCTGGCTGGGACTCCTGGTCCAGCAAGTTCCTCAGAGTTGTGTCCCCAGCTTTCGTCCAGTGGCCTCGTCTGGCAGTTCTGTATCAGTGCCCCCAGGCCAGTGAGACTTCACCTGCAAAGGGAAAGTATTTTGGGGTGTCACCAGTGTAAATTAAGAGAATAGCACCTGCTGGTCAACATGATTGTGCCTACAGCGATGGCTTTGCCAGCTGAGACTTGCTAGCCTAGCTGTGCTGGAGTTGTGGGGTTTTTTGATGCTTCCAGCTGACATAGCTGCCTTACAAAAATTTCGTAACACCAGCCAGGCCTGAAGAGAAAAAGCAGTGGGGTTCTGTTTCTCGAAGCAAAATGAACTCAGTTCTACATGCTTTCCTGCCATTTCTGTATTGAAGAAAAGCATGAAATAAGTAGTAGTCACTAGCAAACTTTTAGGGTGGTGTGATAATTATGCTGACAAGGTTTTATGCTCCAAGGAGAGGGGAGTGGCACATTCCTTGTGTGTTAAGAGCAGGGATACTATGTATTAATAAGACCATTAGTGTTGAGAAACCATGAGTAACCCTTCCTCCCCTCAGCCCCCCATGCCAAAAAATGCAACTGAAGAATAATTTTTAGCTTTATCCTAGAGCTTTCAGCTCTGGCATTGCCTGCTTGCCCCTTCTTTCGTAACAGTGCTCTCATCATTGCAGCATCCTCCTTTGTCCTCCTTTGGCTTTGTGTTTCACTGTGATTGTAGGATCTGAAAGTTTTGCTATGGTGATCACTGTTTACTTTAGAAGTGTTGGTATTTTGCTGTCTTGAGTGGTTTAATCTGCATGCGATTGATGTCTCATCAACCTGAGCTAATTCAGGGTGTTGCTTTTGCATTTCTTTGTTTTCGTTGTGGTTTCATCATTATCATTAAATGCTATGGAGTAAATCACACTCCTATGGTGGGATATTTCCAGTTGAAAGCTGAGGTAACAATGAGAATATAGTAGAGTTTTCTGCTAGGGATTTAAGTTATTTCCTAAAATCAAGTTGTTTTTTTTCCCCTGCTTTTCTGTTTTTCTGGTACTCTACCACCATCATCTCTATGCAGATCCTGGGAAAGTTTTTCATACTTGTTTTCACATCTTTTAAAGTTTCAAAAATGCTTCAGGTAAAGAATAGAATAGAAGAGTCTTTACTGATACAGAAGAAACCGTAATCTACCAAAGTTGCAGATGCTCCAACATGTTGTGGCAAGTTTTTTTTTAATATGTGGTATGCCAGCATGCTTAATGCCAGCTCTGGTTGAAATCTTAAGGCAATCATTTAAAAATATTCACTTGAAGCTATATTTGAGTTTAAGCTTTGTGTAGTATATGGTGTTTTTTTTCCAAATTAATGTTCTAAGTAGACATCAGTCTCATAAGCAAACCTGTATTTCTGTAATTTACATTGTAACATACGTGATTCAAAAGGCTAAACAGGTGATTCTTAATTCCAGTTATTGCTATGTATTTTCATTTATTGTCAACACGCAGTTATTCCAAACAAGCAGTAGTTGAACTGTTCTCTGAATTGGAAAGGAGGTGACGTTTTGTCTGATGTCATGCAGAATTCCTGTAAATAAAATTGAGGTGCTTTTTGCTGAAAGAAGAGTCATTCATTGACTTGGAGTACCTGTATGTTGAGTAGATTAGAACTTAATTTACCCTAAGGGATGATGAAAGCATCAACATGACTTTGAACACAGAATTCTTCCTGGTATTTGAGACCAAACTCTTGTTGTCAGTGACCTCTAGCTGCTTTTTTTTTTGCCACTGTAATTTGAGAAAATCTTTGTATAAGACAGAAGAAGTTCCTACAGGGAGTATTATTTTTCAAAGGTTTTAAAAGTTACTTGTTTAATCTTGTATTTGATCAAGCGCAACACAATGGTAAAATCCAGATTTTACTGGAGCAAAATTTTTATTTCTGTATTAAGACTTCCTTTTTTCATCTGCTTGTCCCAGGTGGCAAAGCTGGCAGCTGTTTCTTCTGGTCTGCCATTTGCATGTATTACTGTACATGCAGCAACAGAAAAGGAATCAAAAAGTCAGCTGGTGAAGCCAAATCAGGTAAGAATCTTACTGTTTGTCAGTCTTTAAAATAATAATAGATGGTATTCTGCAGATTCTTCTGTTTCAATTGAATTATATTGCCCAGTAAATAAAATACATAGTTAAGTAATACCTGATAATAAAAATTACCTCCTATTACGTTATTTCCAGACTGAAGCCAGAAAAGGTAAGAGAATAATACTTACTGATAATAAGTCTTTTTCTATTGGACAATTTCTAGTAATACACGCATGCATCTTCCAATTATTCTTCCTCATACTTTTTATGAATAAAAGATATTTTTGTCATACTCAGTAATTCTACTTCTTAGAACCTATACAATACTTTCGGTTTTCCTTTCTAAAGAATTAACCTGTAGTCACACTTGTGTAAAATAAGTTTGTAAACATAAAAGAGCATAATTTGATACAGAGGTTTTGTTCGCTGTAATAGGAACACTAAGGATTGGCAGTCTTGAAAAACACTATTCAGTGTAAATAAAAATCAGTATACAAAACTATCTACGTGCAGTACAGTTAAGCTTTTGTTTCCAGCTTCCAATTTACTGTCCACCACCTCTGAAATCGAAATACATTGAAGAACAGCCTGGTCACTTACAGAAGCAATTTTCTTCAGTACGACAGACAACCGGCCGCTATATTGGATGGTGCACGGTAAGAAATACATGCCCCAAAGTTTCCTACAATTGCTGACAGCACTAGACTAAAACACTGAAAAAACAGCATACTTCATCCTGGAGGTTTTTTTTTCAGTTCCTTGTATTAGCGTACACCTGTAATTTAAGATGCAAAAATGAAACCTACTCTCATTTTTTTTTTTCTACTGTGCTTAAAACAGGAAATATGCGTGTTCTCCCTCTTTTCCAAATCAAAAGGCAGTGAGACAAAGAGGTCCCCTTCAGTCAGTGCTAAACGGGATCTAGGCCAACCCACAATGTCAGGTTCAGAAATATCTCTTGGTTAATTTCTACAGCAAGAGTGACGTAGGTAAATTATTGCTAGCAGAACCTGATAGCATTTAGGAGTCTGAATCTCCAGGTGCAGTCCACGGAGAGAGCGAGCTGCTTCCAAAGGGAGGGTTAAAAGACCTGATTTAGGTACTTTAGGAAAGACAAACTGCTGCGTCCAATGTAACTGTTAAAGCAGGCTATTACTAACTAGTCATCAAAAAGACCTCACAACTCTGTTACTGAATATTCCAGGCATAGAAGAAAATGTGTTGCTTGTCACCATTCTCTTAACTGCTGGTAAATGACAACTTCACCCTGACTGTTCTTAGTATGAAATTTTATGCTTGTATTTTTCTCTTACAAACACAGTAGACCCTAGTATTTGAAAAAGGCAAAGAAATCAAAATGTCGTCATGTATTTTCTGTAAATGTCGATTCCAGTGGTCTGTGAAAATTTTGTTAGTGACTGCATAACTGAAATAATTTAGTTATAAATCTGTATCAAACTTTTCCATGCCCTTAATCATCGAGTGTTTCCGAGATTGACTAGCAGTGACCTCTGGTGGTACAAATTCTGTGTTTACTGCAAAGAGATGATTTTGGTGAAGTAACTCAAGATCACATTTTTTTTTCATTAATCTTCTAAAGAATGTGTATTTACTCAATTTGTTTGTCAATCTGCAGACAATGATACTAATAGTAGACTAGTAGAAGGGCTTTTTGGGTACAGAAAAGCTTGTAATTAAATAAATGGACCAATTTGAAGGGAGTAATGCAAACTCCCTTGAAGTTGAGCACTTATCTTAGACCAAATCAGTATTGCTTATCTTCAACAAAACTAAGCACCATTTTTGCAAACTAAAAGACAATTTTACTGAGTAATTCTCTCTAGGGAAGAGGAGACTGTATTTTATGATTGAATTTTCTTATCTGGATGCCAACTGTATAACATGTTTTGCCACCTTACAGTTTTGTTCCTGAGATGTCAATTTTGAAAGTGACCTTACTATATTAAAGAGATTTTTTAAAAATAAAATATGGGTGGAAGTTTTAAAAATATAAACATGGTAGTCAAAAAGGGGATAGGTTTCAGCACAGCCTCTGTAGAAGTTCACTGATCTGGTTTGTTTTTTTTAAAGTTACATAGTATTTTTTTGTCTCATTGTGCTGAGTCATATGTATCAACCAAGTAGTTTTGTACTGAAAACCTGTAATTTTGCAAAGATTTTATATTTATTTTGGTGGTGGTTTTTTTTTTTTTATAGGATGCTTTTGTCTTTATTAAAAATGGAATAATGGATTCAATTCAATTTGGAAAAGGTAGGCAAGTCACATATTTCTGAATTGAGCATTTTCTGTTGTTTCTCCTTGCGACTTAGAAAGATGGTTGAAACAGCAAATTCTAGTTACAGGGGGTAAAAGAGGGAAAGGGTAGGAGAGGAGTGCACTGGGATACTTTCTGCAAGAGTGTGTGTGGGAAATTGCTGCCACTGTTAATTCATTATGGAGTTTCATTTCTGTTCTGAAATCACAGAAATTACCAATTAAATAGTATTTCTCATTCCTTTGATTTTAGTTTTGTTCTTAAAATCATAGTATCACAGAATCGTTGAAGTTGGAACCTCTATAGATCCATAGATCTCTGTATGGATTGTCTAGTCCAGTCACCTGCTTAAAGCAGGGCCAAAGCAGGTTGCTTACGTCTCTGTCCAGACAGGTCTTAAACATCTGCAGGGATGCAATTTCCACAACCTGTCTTAATTTTAAAAATTCTTAATTCTAGCACAAGTTACAAGCAGTATTTGCATTCAAGTTCAGTGTGAGAAACTATAGATAAGTTATTTTCCTTTAAAATAGTATATTGGGAGATTCCAAAGTATGTGTTGCCTCATTTAATGTATATTAGCTCACAGTAAAATCAAAACTTGAAACTATGCCTTCCTTTTCCTTTATTAAGGACTAACGTTTTATAAAACACAAAAATGTATCTAAGGAGGAAAATTGTTAACTTTGCTGCCGTGTTTTAAGGACTGTGATTCTGTCTAACACAGACTGCAGAGTGTGCACCTGGAAAATAAGGCATTCGTTAACAAAAAATCCAATCTTGGACTGTTTTCAGTTTTGAATATTCATAATTTTACTTCCATCTTTATTTCTTAAGTGCAAAACAAAATGAAAGGATTAATATTGAATTGCTATGCTGTTTTTTTTTTTTTTTGCTTCTTTTTTTTTTTTTTAATTCTAAGATGCTTATGTTTACCTGAAGAATCCACCACCAGAATTTCTTCCCAAAGTTGGTGTAATTACAATATCAGGCTTAGCTGGCATTGTGCTGGCAAGAAAAGGTAGGATTTTTTGCTTATTTTCATTACTGGTATGTTGAATATGTAGCATGTAGTAATTTTAATGGTCAAAAGATTTTCAGTTCTGAAACACAGGCAAAAGTCTATGTAACTAGTATTAAAAAAATCCCTCCTCATAAACTTAAGGAACATTATTAAATATTTCTTTAGAAGCTGGCTAAGGCCTAATAGAGCAGGATTATACAGTCATTTTTAATGGTGGAATCAAGGAAAATTCAAAGTAGGACACTTGTTTTGAGTTTGTTCATTATTGGTTTTCAGAAACAATGTGTGTACGGGAGGAAATTGGAGACAAATTGTAACGGGTAAGGTTACTGAATATAGTGAAAACTAAGGTAATTTAGAAGGAAGATGCTAAAGAATCTACCTGGATTTTAGCAAAGCTTTTGATACCATTTCCCACAGCATTCTCCTGGGGAAACTGGCTGCTCATGGCCTGGACAGGTGTACTCTTCGTTGGGTAAAAAAATGGCTGGATGGCCGTGCCCAGAGAGTGGTGGTGAATGGAGTTAAATCCAGTTGGTGTCTGGTCACAAGTGGTGTTCCCCAGGGCTCGGTATTGGGGCCAGTTCTCTTTAATATCTTTATCAATGATCTGGATGAGGGGATCGAGTGCACCCTCAGTAAGTTTGCAGACAACACCAAGTTAGGCGGGCGTGTTGATCTGCTTGAGGGTAGGAAGGCTCTGCAGAGGGATCTGGCCAGGCTGGATGGATGGGCCAAGGCCAATGGTATGAGGTTCAACAAGGCCAAGAGCCGGGTCCCAAACTTGGGTCACAACAACCCCATGCAGCGCTACAGGCTTGGGGAGGAGTGGCTGGAAAGCTGCCTGGCAGAACAGGACCTGGGGGTGTAGGTGGACAGCCGGCTGAATATGAGCCAGCAGTGTGCCCAGGTGGCCAAGAAAGCCAACGGCATCCTGGCCTGTATCAGGGATAGTGTGGTGAGCAGGACGAGGGAAGTGATCATCCCCCTGTACTCAGCACTGGTGAGGCCCCACCTCGAGTACTGTGTTCAGTTTTGGGCCCCTCACTACAAGAAGGACATTGAGGTGTTGGAGCGTGTCCAGAGAAGGGCTACAAAGCTGGTGAGGGGTCTGGAGGACAAGGCCTATGAGGAACGACTGAGGGAACTGGGGTTGTTTAGCCTGAAGAGAAGGAGGCTGAGGGGAGACCTTATCACTTTCTACAACTGCCTGAAAGAAGATTGTAGAGAGGAGGGGGCTGACCTCTTCTCCCTTGTGACAAGTGATAGGATGAGAGGAAATGGGTTCAAGTTATGTCAGACGAGGTTTAGATTGGATATTGGGGAAAAAAAATTTTCATTGAAAGGGTTATTAAACATTGGAATAGGCTGCCCAGGGAGGGGGTGGATTCGCCATCCCTGAAGGTGTTTAAAAAAAGGGTAGATGTGATACTTGGGGACATGGTTTAGAAGTGGTTTTGTCAGGGTAGGTTAACAGTTGGACTTGATGATCTTAAAGGTCCCTTCCAACCTCAGCAATTCTATGATGCTATAATGTTGGCGTTTGGCTAACAGGTACAAGAGAATACACAGGAGGGCATGGTTTCAGCAGATTTGAAGGCAAAAGGGTGATTTAATAGAAATAGCTGCCTCTCCTTTCAAGATAAGTATTAGAGGAATAATACTTAACGTGCCTGAAAACTTTGTTCAGAAAATGTTAATCTATAATATCTAGTGTGTGTGTGTCTATCTAATAATCAATATATTGGCAGCTTAGTGAAAGCATTCTTCTTGTATCCCTGTTACTTTTTGGTGGATGGATTTAAAAAAAAAAATAAAAGTCTTGGGCTTGAGAGTCTGTCATTGGGGCTCCTTGACAACAAGCAGGAACCTGAGCCCGGCCCAGCCATTCCCAGATTTGAACAAAGAGGCCCCAGTTTCCAGGCTCCTGGCTGCTCCAAATGCTCCCTACGTCCTGAGGAGAGTGCGCATGGAGCTAGTGAAGAACCACATCAGCTCCTAAATAACACAGACATTCTTCTCATTTTTTCACGATACTGGAAAGTCTAGTTTGGTATTATTTCTCATTCAAGAAAACGATGTTCAGAATGTCAGTATCTCCTGCAAACATGACTGTACTAAACTATAATCGCACTCTCTATTCTCTCCTCCAGCCATTATGGGGATAAGTTTGATGTAAACAATGGTTAGGGGTTAAACAATTGCATTTAATTGATACAACTCTTTAGCTTTACATTTCATTAGTGTCTAATTGTTTGAAATATTTGGCTTTATGCAGATTCTAGATTTAAGAAAATTGCTTATCCATTGGGACTTACTACTTTAGGAATCGCTGTGTGTTACCCAGCTCAGTCAGTGGTATTTGCTAAGGTAAGTTTACTTGAACTTTAATATTGAGTTAACAGTGAATTTAGTCATAGCATTCCCTTTTCACTTGAATTAAGTGTCGTTGGATTAGGATTCAATTCACATGCATCTTCATTAAAACATATAATGCATCACAGGTGTTAATTGTATAACTGTAAACAATTAATAAAATAACAATTTAAATATGCAGCCTCTCAGGTTTTAATCCTCATTTTCTCAAATAAATGAAGATTATTTTATCTTGCTGAAATAAAAGTAAATAAAAAAGAAAGCCTTGCTGAACTTGATAGATATGTATTTTGAGGTACTGTACAATTGTATCCCTTGTTAGAATTCCTTGTTTTCCAATTACTGCCATCTTGCAGTTTTTCACCTGATTAGAATACATCTTCACTGTTTATGTAGAAAATCAGAACTATACTTAATACTTTGTACGCAAGAATTGTTTGCACACAGTGCTTTTCTACAGAAAAAGTGAATTGAAAATCAGGATATAAAGTCTATATCTCTTCGTCCTCTATAGTTTTCCAGTGTTTCGTTATTTAGAAAAGCACATACTGCTTCATAAGAATTCTTCGTAGTTCCCTGATGAACTTTGTATTTATAGTATCAAAACTGTACTTATGTGTTAAATTGATGAGGTAGGAGAATTTAGTTTAGTTGGTTGTGTTTGGTTCTAGGACTTATCAATCTTTTAATTAAATGATCAGATTTAAGTTTTGACAGAAAGGTTTGTGGAAAATTATACTGAAATCTGATTGAAAAAAATTACTGAATCTCTAACTTTCCATCATGATGAATCTGTTGTTATTGTTGCTATTTTTAGTGGGGTGGTTTTGTTTGATATTTTTATACTTCCAGAGTACATAGGAAGATATCGCGAAGATCTATACTGTGGTTAAAATCTTTGGGCAATATTCTATTGCTAAACTGATATGTTGGGGGGTTTTCTTATATGCAAACCAATGAGGATTATGATTTCTCTAGAGGCAGTGGGATTTCTTGGCTTATTGTCATAATTGACTTAAATGTCAGGGTTGGAGGATGGAGAAATTAATAGGTCATAATGTACAGTGTAGCATTCCCATCTCAGGAAGCTAAATTGTTGTTTCCTATCTACTTTACATTATGTATCACCTTTTGCATAGTTTTTTGTAGTTGAGCTGTGAAGTATTCTGTTTCTACGGAGCAGTTGTGAAGGTACTCCATAGTTTCTGCAGTATTATAAAATTACTTTTTGAAAATGGAGTGAAGGATTTGGTGCTTTGTAAAACAAAGCACTACTCACTGACATGGGCCAGGTCATCTTTTGGGGTTTTTTCCTTTTGTGTTACTGCCTTTGATAATTTCCAACACAGTGAGACAAGTTTGGATCCTTTAAAACTGCTGCTCCTATCTATTGTGATAACATTGCCAAAACACTGTTTGCTCATTAGGTTTTGATTTCATTTTGAGTAGGTGGATGTAGCGCGCGAATGCTACCTGCAGATTTCTAATACCAATTTAAACATTATTTAGGATTTGCTTGATGTAAGAGAACTAGGCACTAGATTTTGAATAGCAAATGATCGAAATGTCTCAGTATGGGGTCAAGCATGTTCTTGTGCAAATAAGATGCATTTCATTTGAGTGGTTTATGTATCTTAGTATTTTTAAAGCTGTCATTAAACTACACTTGTCTGAAAACACAGGTAACAGGGAAAAAGTTAATTTCTGCAAGCCATCAAACCTATGAAGCTGCGCGGTCACTATGGGCGAAAAATGAAGAGGTCACAAAGGTAAGCTTTCTGAAGTAATGAGTAACTCATAAATTCAAAGGGAGAAAAAGTAAATTTGAAGGTCAAGTACTATTCTGCTAATACTGTTTAAGATTACTAATTGTGTTGTGAGGCACAGAAACCCCTCTGATATTTTTATAACTTCAGTGTTTAATTGATGTCGTATTTGTTATGCCTTTCAGACCAATAGATACTGACATCCCCTATGTAGTCCCGCAATACACGCACAAGACAAGACTGAGTTTCTCTTATAACTCATTTTTGATCTTGATAAAAATAATGCATTCTGATTCAAGCTTTGGTCCTAAGCAGACCACTGAATTTAAGGTAAAGAGAGACAGAATTACCGTAGGTGTGACCTAGCTTATTCTTAAACATATCAGTGAAGGAAATTCCACAACCCTTTCGGGTAGTCTGTTTTAATTACCCTGTGATATAAATTGTCCATGTCTGATTTTTTTTTTCTTGTCCTGTCCTCATTGCAGCCATAGTGAATAGATGGTCAGTAACCTCTTTATATTGACCTATTACATATGGAAAATCTATAGTTTTTTATATGATCTTCTCCATAGTATAACCTTTTCTTATAGAGCCGGCTTTCTAACTCTTATGTAATTCTTGTTCTCCTCTGAGCTTTCTGTAGTTTCTCTCTCTCCTTTTTCTGTTTTTAGGGGGGTTGTATGTCGTTTGTGTTGTTGATTGTTTTTAAGTGAGGTGGTCAAAATAGGAAATAGTAAACCAGCTGAGGCCTTGCCAGCACTAAGTAGAGTGGAATATTAACCTCCTGTAAATTATGTATGGAATTTGGGTTAGTACATCCCAGAATTAAGCATGTTGTTTCTGCAACCTGAAAAGGTTTTTCTCCAGTGGAAATTGAAAAACCCCTGACAAAAGTAGTACTTGCCCGAGTAAAATTTCAGCTTTGCACAGTGATATTTTTTTTTTTTCTCTTTTTAAGGAAAATAAAAGTTTCTCAGTCTTATTAACATCTAGAAGTATTTTGCTTTAAATTTCTGGTCGTCATTTCTATACAGTCCTCACCTTTTATTTCCACTGGGGAGCGCAAATGGAATGCTGAATTTTGAGAATGAGATTCAGATAAACGTCATTAAACTGATAGCGAAACAAGAATTGATGCGGTAAAGACAGTTTCTGTTCACTGTATTTTTTTCCCCGAGTGAAGCCTCTTCCCAAAACAGTTGGGTTTTTTTTCATTACTAGGGTGTTATCATGATCTGTCTTTCCATCTTCTGTTAACTAAGGGTGGTAAGTGTTTTGTAAAAACTAAATGCTGTTTCAGTCTTGTGTAGGACTATAGGTTCCTCATCTGTAAATGAACAGTGACTTCCTTGTGAAGTCCTTTGAAGGTGTCAGGTGAAAGAACAATATCAGGCTTAAGTATATACTTGCGACAAAGTAAATTTCCTTACAGGTGAATCTGAAGTTACTGTATCTAAACTGTGGGGTTCGTTCATGCATTTTATTTTTTCCAGCTGTGTCCCTTGCGTACAGCTGACTTTAACATTACTAGTTGAATATCATTGTATGATGTCATATCTGAAAATAATTTCATAAAAGATAAGCTTTCAGACTTGAAAGCTTTATTTTGCAGTAATGTATTAAGCACATACCCACGTGCATGTATTTTTCTTATTAATGTTTGGTTCACAGCTGCCGCAAGAGTCAAAATTGGTTACGCAAGAAGACAAGAAAAAGAAGGAAATTTCTAGTACAAAATCTGAGTCTGCTATTGAGCCAAGATCATTTAACAGAACAGAATCTTCTCCAGTAGAGTCTTGGAATAATAAAGATCCAGTGCCTTCATCAGGTAAATTAAATGTTTCAAGTGTAATCTCGGGGCAACTTGCAAATCCAATTACTTGACTTAATTTTGTAGTTATCCTTGCTTTAAAATGGAGCAGACTGTCATAGCACATTATTCTTAAATGACAGTGTGTACAATATATTCTTATATATACTTCAGAGCCTCAGGGAGGTGATCATTTTCTCACTGTGGACCCTGTCACAGTATCAGAATTCTTACATATTTGTTTTTCTCTCTCAAGAATGTTTTCTTTCATTCCATACGGTGTGGACCATGTCTCATATTGTTAGCCATGATATGATATCGTCAATTAGTTCTGTTAAATACCTACTTTAAATTATCTTTCTGTTGTCTGAATACCATAACTGTAATTTAAAGGATTACCGCTGAATTTTTGGGAACATAGCTAATTTGAATTACTGTTCATTTCTCTGTATGGGTTCTATATCTTCAGATACTGGTAAAAGAGGAATATGTAATTGACAAATGAATCATTGGATTATATTTTGCTAGGTATTTTGCAGTGGTGTTCTTTGTGCATCTTAAATGGTTTGAGACAATTGACTAGATCATGTAACATGATATGTTACAGCATATTTCATAAAATCATAGAGTGGTTTAGGTTGGAAAGGACCTTGAAGATCATGGAGTTACAACCCCCCTGCCATGGGCAGGGACACCTATAAAAGTAAATGAAGTAATAAAGTAAATATTTATATTTACATATAAATATTTTGATAGGCCAGTTGCTAAGAGAAACAGTGGAATTACCTATTAAAGGAGAACTAAATTTGCTTTAAAATATTGATAACTTTTGTAGGAGCAGTTTCTGAATTTTACTGAGAAAATTTTACTTGCTTAATTCCTTTTTATCATGTTCTTTACCAGAATATTTTTTTTCTGGAAAGCAGACAAAACATATTTGGATGGGCTTTTTAATTTTTTTATTCCCCTTTATTTTCATGGTGATATACATTCACACCTTTCTTTGCTTTGCCTCTGTATTTTCTCTGATTTAGTTTGTGGAATACTTTGATCTTTTTTCATATTTGCTCCATGCCAGACTGTCTTTAATGGTTTTATGTATATAGGTATCTTCTGTCTTTGCTTTCATGGGTGGAATTAGATTATGTCCCTAATACAGCCAAAAATGTCCATGCCCTAAATTAATCTGTGTTGTCAGAGATGTTTATTTTCACTAGTCTAAATGGGGCAAACCTTTCAGGAGAACAGAGCACCCTTTGTTAAACCAACTAAGGTAGCTGGAAAAGAAGCAGACTAGTAGTAGGGGACACAGTCCTAGAAAACCTGCCTGTCTATTCTCTCAGGTTCTCTTGAATTACAGTATCATGAAATATGTCAGTCTTTGTGCATTGTCATTCAGGATGAGTGTGAGGGCTCAGCATCTTCCTAAACTCAGTTCATTGTTTTTGGAAGTCATGAAGTGAAACTAGGTAAGAGTGTTTGCCTTAATTTGGAATTCTTGCCATCTGGCAGCAGCTTCAGGAAAGATACTGATTCAGTTGGCTTTGGGAGACAGCTCTGCTCCTGGGAGCAGTGGAGGAAGAAAGACTGGGGATTTTTTTCCATGTCCCAAACTTTGCCTTCCTTTCCATGTTTAGGGCAAAGCATCACTATATCTTCTCTCACCCTGCTGTGTTCAGGAATTAGTATTAAAGTATAGAGATTAGGAGGAAGACGTGCTCTCCATCCATTGCTGTATGCTAGTGATTACAACATGCCTTCATCGTCCTGTATGCTCTAGTTAAAACTGTGCAAGTGATACATATTTTAATCTTTTGTAAGTGTTTGGTAATACAGTAATTCTCAAAATGTGTTAATAATCTTGTTTTTCTCCAGCTCAAATATATATGTATTTTTTAATTGAATTTCTTTAATATCTCCAACAGGAACAGTGAAGACACCAAAATTTAAGCCTGATCCAAAACTTATGGACCATGGTCAGTCCAGCCCAGAAGATGTGGATATGTACAGTACTAGAAGCTAAGACAAATCTGCTTACAAATCTTTGCAAAGTATGCCAGATAAGGGGGAGGGAAGAAGGGAAGGAATAATCCTTGCAATACATACTCTGTGAGGTATAATTTAATCAGGTATCTTCTTATATCCCAATTTGTATTACTGACTTACGTGACTCTGTTCAGTGAATATTTTGTTTCTCACTACTTAGAAGCAGTGAGAATTCAGTCATTGTCAGTGTCATTAGTGAGACACTGAGAAAATGTCAGTGTCTTCTCATGAAGAGGTTTCTCTGTGCCAAGCTTGTTAATAAATGTCACTTCACAAAGGATATTTGAAAATGGAAACATATCTCTATACTTCGGCTCAGATGTTCATTGATCTGAAAGAAGAATGTGATGGATAGGATTTGCACAGGCTTCTTTGTCTTTTTTCTTTCAGCTCTGGAATGAAGTGCAACTTCTTATTGGTCTGATCAGTGCCCTTAAAAAGTTGGTTGTTGTATCACATGAATAGCATTATCTTTAATGCTTGTATAAACAAGTCACTTTTTTTCATTGCAAAGTCATTTGTTGTTGTTTGCCTCTTTCACAAAGGTGAATGGAAACAACTTATTGTCCTGCATGCTTCTTGTGTATTTAAAAGTCACTTAAGTTGGGAAAAAATGCACAACTCATACCTAAAACATCCTTTATAGACTATGCATTAGTTTTCACCTACTTCTAATACTTTGAAGAACTGTATGCAAATTGCTTAATCCATGAAACTGATGCATTCGATATAAATTCAAACAGTATTAGCAATGTTTAGGAAGTTGGAAACCTGTAGTTTCAAGGTTTAAAGTGCTGACAAATATTAAAAATGCAGAAGTAATTAATAGGCAGCCAACTTTTTCCTCCCAGAATTTTGTATGCAATACCTATTGATCTTGGTAGGATTTCTGTGAAATTCTGTCTTTTTCCATAAGAATGAAATAAGAAATTGATTAAGTTTCCTAGGATGAAACTTTCAAACACTGCTTTTATTGTGTATTATCACTCGACTTCTGTTTGTCTTCCACTTCTCTTCAAAACACTCTTCCAAGGGTTGGAATAGGTCTGGTGGTTGTCTTTGAACAAAGTGCAATTCATTATCAGTACACAGTGATAATCAGCCTGCTGCCTAGAGTTAATCTCATTGCTGTCTACTGTGGCACTTTCCTAGGATATAAACTGCAAAAGGACACCGTGCTAGTAGTTTGTCCCTTGATCTGTTGAATTCTGTTATCTTTCAATTAATGAAAATACATGCTGTGTTGTAAAGTCGAGGGGGTGAAGCAAGAACAAATGGACAGTTTGGTTGGAAGACTTAAACCTGAAAAGAAATGCTGCTTCATATAAATGTATTCTCAGCACTGGGATGAAGGGATATTCGTTCCTGTTCTACATGAGAAGAGATTTCACAACCTGATTCCTTCTTCTAAGGCTGCTAATGCAAAGGCAGATGGCTAGTGAAATACAAGCAAACAATATTCCTAGTGTCACTGTGGGACTAGCAGAAGTTGCGAGGGGAATACTGCACTATGGAATGTGCACAAGGGACAAATGATGAATGAGCAAAAGAATAAATAAGGCTTTTATGATGGTTCAGAAACAGATAAGTTTGCAGATAAGAATGCAAATTTCAGGCAAAGTGTTGGACTTTGTTATACAGAGTTCAACGGAAGGTGTAGTCAGTAAATACAAAGTTTAAAGAAGAAGAATTCTATTGTTAAACTTACTTGGGACAGTTGGCTTAGAATTTAATGTATTTTGTTTCTTTAATCATCTCTTAAGGCCCAGGAAACTGTCAGAAATCAGGCAGCAATCAGAGGATGTTAAATCAATCTTCACAGACCTCCTGGACAAGACACACTTAGTGTTCCATCACAGAGACAGGAGTAGAAAAATTAGGTATCTTGGCTTCATATACCATTTCCAGGGAAACAGATGAAGATGTAAGGCAGGAAGTGAAAATGGTGAAGAAATGATCATTTTCAAGTGCAAGACTGATGGCAGAAACTGTATTATCTATCTCCCTTTGATAAGATTCTGGATAAAAAACGTAAAGGAAAAACCATCTGCTCTACTCCTAGATTCCATTTAAATTCTAACTTATGTCCTTTGAGTGATACGCTACGACAACAAGTCAACAAGAAAGGTAAGGCGATGGAGGTTTGCATGAATTTTGTAGGGGTTTACTGTGGTGACGTTTTTCAGTACATAGTGGAAGACTGTGCACAGGAATTAGTCTTCTGGAAGCAGAGAGAGCAGCTGCCTTGGGTAGCTGTTAAGGAACAAGGATGTCTGCCTTTTCCAGGCAAGAGTGGGCCTTAAAAGACTGCCCATCTACCTGCAGTGCCAAAAGCTGGTCTGGTCCCTTCAATAGTTTAGAGCATTACCACTCAAATCTCATGATACAAATGAAAGTGTCTGGTCTGCAAAAGGTACCTTGGACTCCTTGGTGGTTAGGCAATCAAGAATAACATGTTTCGTGCAAGCAGTTTGTGTTACAACCTGATTTTACAAGTTCATGCTGTAAATGGACATGATACACAAAGCTATCCTTAGGTTGTATTTCAATCTCAAACTACCACTTAGGGCAAAATTGTAATAGAAATATACCTCAGGGTTAAATCAGCATTCAGAAGTCTTAGATACATTTTCTGGGACATAATGTAAAATTATCACTCCTACCCACTTTAATGAATGAACAGTATGAGGAGTACAGTTCTAGAGCTCATAAAATGGTATCTCTGTCCTGTGTCATTTCTTCTTGGTGGATGAGAGGAGTAAGTCAGCACAGATTTATTCCAGTACAGGGTTTGCCTGCTACTGTTACTTTTTAGTTTAGCTTTTTCGTCAGTTGAGATTTCTCTTTTTCATTCTTCTCTACAAGACAGGGTAATTTTTTGTTTGTTTTCTATCAACAGTTTTTGTTTCATATCCCCACACGGTTGAAAAGCTGCAACTAAAATTAGCAGTTTTTGTTTCACGGTTGAAAAGCTGCAACTAAAATTAGAGGCTTGAGCTTTGGCACTGAAACAGGTATAGCTAAAGACAACTGTTTCCCTATCTGCAGCTGAAGAAAACGGGACAAAAAAGTATGGAAAGTTTTGTATCCTGTCTGGGTGTGTTCTCTGCTTCCAGAAAGACCATAACCAATCTCTCAATTGGTATTTCTCTGTCCTGGAGCATAGATTTATTAGTAGCGGGAAGGAATTGTTTAGTAAAATCTGGAATATGATATATTGTAATAGTTCTTTGCTAACGTAAACTTCTGTTAGTCAGTCATCATCTTGTCCACTCATCTGATACACATGATGAAAAATTTCTAGAGGTACCAAAGAAGATGCAGGTTATTATAGAGAAGTTTGGAATGTATTTGCTGAAATGAAGGCAGCACAAATCGGGTTACTTATCTTCTCTAGTACAAATACTGGAATGTTGACTGCGCATCTTTCACTCAGCTGCCATTTTGTGAAGTGTTTCTTGTCAAATCTAAATAGGTGCCTGCCCTCTTCAGTTCAGACATCTGAACCTCTGCGTTTTATATAATACTCTACAGATCGCTTGTTCCAGATAAGTACGAAGAACTGTAGCTACATCTCTCTCTTAATAATTCATAGTAAAGGTGCTATGCAATGGCTTTAAAAAAAGCAAATTCAAATCTACATTATGCCATGCTTGCGAGTCCTCATTTTAAATACATGTCCCTGACTTGATCACTTTAAGGTTTCAGACTCAGTTACTCAAATCTGTTAAACAGTGAAAAATTAACGTAAGTACACAGAAGTTGCATTGCAAGACATGGTTTTATTAATTTATAGTGAAACTCTTTGCCTCTCAAATGTATCATTAATAGTCACCTAAAGTTTCTTTCATAATGCAATAATACAGTAACATAATAAAAGTAAGAATGTATACTGTAATTTTTATATGATGTAAGTTATATATTTTTGAAAAATCCAATGTCTTAAAGAACTGCGTCACATGATATTTTATAATATAGAAATAGTTTAATTTAAGGCATGTGAGTTATTTATGATGATTGTATTCAATATAGAGATTCAGAACTTGTTGATATTAATTTTTTATTTACATAAAACTGATTGTGATACTTTATTTTTTCATATCTTTGTGAAGCACCTGAAAATAAAGGGTGATAAGATACTTCTTAAAAATTAAGGTTTTTGTATGTTGTCTCATCTGTAGGACAAACTGTCAATTCCTTTTCTCTAAAGTACATTTTAAAAGTTAATTGGTAAGCATGACTAAGACACTCCTGTTTCACTGATGTTGGGGGGAAAAAACTTCACCCCTGAAGTACTGAAACATCCATTCCTGGAAGAAATCACTGAAGTAACATGCAGGACATATTAATGCTCAGCATTCAGTTGTTTTGTGCGTCGTAAATTTTGAGAAGTGCTTCCATTTTCCTTTCTTGGTAATTTCTTCTAAATAATACTGTAGATCAGAACTTGGGAAAAAGACGGCTCTTATCTATACTGGAGGAATGACACATACTGTTAAAGAACAAGGCAGATGGCAAATATATTTACCTCAGCCTGGCTCCTTGATAATCTTCAAGGTAAAGTAATTTGCCAATCCAAGGGTCATAAATAATCTAATACATGATGTAACCTACAGTGTAACTACTTAAAGGAAGAAAAATTGCGTGAATAAGTAATGTGACTATTTTAATGGCAAATTATCATTATGATGTTCAAATAACTTTAAAAATATTGTAAAGAGTTTTTAATGCATCAGTGTAATTATCTTGTAGTGAAAGTTTGGGATATTTCTGATTCATATGCAAATACAGAAAATGTGTTTTAAATCTAAAAAGAAAGTAGTATAGTATAGCATTTGTATGCACTAGATTGTGTGTAGTTTTTATTTTAATTTGCACAGATTCTAAGAAGCAAAGCTCAGATATGTGCTGATTGTAAGCTACAGTCAAGAAAGACTGTAATTGAAACCATTCTAGAAGTTAGCATGTTATTTATATTGCCACAGTATTGATGTGCTCTTGTAGACCAGCGCAAGTGTACAAACCCAACTGAAATGCTAAGAAGTTGGAAAACCTTGTTGTTACACTCATTTTTTTTGTTTGAAGAAACTTCTTTACATTTTGAAGTCTAATGGCCAGATCTATTTTGTGTTGCAAAAAATGAATATATCAGTACATACTAAAAGTTGTAGAAGGAGAAGAGAAAGGAGAGGGAAATAGAAGTTTCATCACTGACTCAAAAGGGGTGAAAGGGATGTGCAGTTGGGAGTTCTGAGTTTACTGTGGGGCAGAGTC